TCAACAGCTTAATTAGGTATATTAAGCTGCTGCAGTCTCCCTGAATCTTTTCTTCTATGATACTATTGATTCCTTATAAACTCTGAATCTGTTACCCTGTTTACGACTTCAGGTACTGTTTTGTTTTTTCTGAGAAATACTCAATACTGTCTTCTAGTACTTTAGAACATAATAACAGGACTGATTTCTGGTTAGTGTATGATATTGCAGAAATTTGAGGGAGATGTTCAAGCTTGATACAGCAGATTACATGATTTCCATTTCTGGAAGTGACGCACTTCGGGAGCTGTCGTCTCCTGGAAAGAGTGGAAGTATGTTTTTCTTATCGCAAGACGACCGCTTCATGATCAAGACTCTTCGCAAATCTGAAGTGCAGGTTTCTACCTGCTGTTTCTATTCAATGATGATTTTATGATAAGCAGTGCAACTATTCATGCTAACTGACAATAATATGTGTTGGTAACTTGATAAGAATCTCATGTTTTCAATTATCTGGCCTAACACTAAGAAAATGCTGTCCATATTGAATCAAAGCTGTCCCTAAGTTCATCTGTTTACATCTGCAACTTGAGTTTTTCCTGACATGCATGATATTTGCTTGCAGGTTCTTTTGCGTATGCTTCGAGACTATTACCGCCATGTCCATACTTATGATAACACACTCGTGACTAAATTCTTTGGCCTCCACCGGGTGAAACCTTCCAGTGGCCAAAAGGTAATGACAGTAAAACGGTTGTTGCTCAATTTAAAAAGGTTACAGATAATTCTATTGTGAAAAGCTTCAGCCATGAAAAAGGATATATTATTTGTCATATCTGATAATTCTACTTTAGTTGATATTTAACTGTTTGTTTGATTGCTTGAATCTGCAGTTCAGATTTGTAGTGATGGGCAACATGTTCTGCACACAACTTAGAATCCATCGAAGATTCGATCTGAAAGGTTCATCCTTAGGCAGATCTACCGACAAGGTTAAAATCGACGAGAACACGACGCTCAAAGACCTGGATCTCAACTACTCATTCTATCTCGAGCCTTCTTGGCGGGATGCTTTGCTTAAGTAAGCATCTTCTCTCTGACCTGAAAAAAAGCAGCTTATCCTCATGACAGCGAGTTTTCCGTGTGACAGTCCATTATGTTCTCTTGCTATTATTATGTGTAGGCAGATTGAGATCGACAGCGAATTTCTCAAGAATCAGGGCATAATGGACTACAGCCTGCTTCTCGGTTTCCACTACCGGGCTCGCCAAAGCCTTGTAAGAGGAGGGTCGTTGCCTGAAACCATCTTGCAAGACAACAAACTAGCCGTTCTTTCGGAGCAAGGTAATTAAGCATGAAAAAGTAGTATCTCCATTCCTTTGAGTAGTAAGTTGTCCAATGAACCCATTTGGAATGCCAAATTTTTGCTTGTTTGATGACGACGGTGATGCAGATGCCATGGAGGATGATTCCGCCTATAACTACCGTGAAGGGCTGGTTCTGGTGCAGCGAGGCAGCAACCAAGATGGTAGAGTTGCTGTCGGCCCTCACATAAGGGGGAGCCGCCTGCGGTCGTCGTCCGCTTGTTACGAGGAAGTGGATCTCCTGCTTCCAGGCACAGCAAGGTTGATCAATCAATTTATTCTGTTACTGTTTGTCAATCCTCATTTGCTTCCAATGCTAACCTATGATCTGAGATTAACTGAAGAATTTGTTGTCAAACCGGACAGGCTTCAGATCCAGCTAGGAGTGAACATGCCAGCGAGAGCAGAGAAAGAAGAGAAACAAGAGGAAGATGGCGGCAAACCGCTCCGTCAGGTGTACGACGTGGTGCTCTACATCGGGATCATCGACATCCTGCAGGAGTACAGCATGAGGAAGAAGGTGGAGCACGCCTACAAGTCCGTCAAGTATAACCCCCAGTCGATATCCGTGGTCGAGCCCCGGTTCTACTCGGAGCGCTTCCTCAACTTCATCCGCACCGTCTTCCCGGAAAACTCACCAAACCAATAAATTCATTCATTCATCTTTCCTTCCTTCTCCCCAGCAGGAAAAAATGTAACAGAAAGGTCCAAGGAAATGTGCTCTGCTTGCTATATTGCTGTTCACAATATAACAGAAAGTTTGAGATGAATAAGGAAATGTCCCCAGCAAGAAAAGATGTAACAGAAAGATCAAAAGGAAATGTGTTGTGCTTGCTACATTGCTGTTCATGTGTGTGGTTTGAGATGGTTGGAAGCGAAAGCAGTGTGTGTATTTTGTCAAAAAGCAGCATTGACAAAACTAGTCATCAGCAGTGAGTGGTGAGTGCTCCATTATGCTTATGCATGGATGTGGTTTGGGTTTTCTGCCATGTTGAGATGACCAACCACCCCACTATACTACTACACATCACATATAGATATGACACGTGTCTGTTACCCAAACCCATCCATACATCTGTCATCTGCTATTGGCTTATCTACTGGCTCCTTTTTGTTGTGATGAACAGGAGCTTAGCTAGTGGTGTTAATTAGGTGAGATGATGACATGAACCGATGATTGATATCTCATATCAATTGTACGTGTCAAATGCCAATGGAAGTCACCACTCCCCGACTCGCCTATAAATTGTATCGACATCGATCCCAAGCCGAACACAACAGCAGAACATAGTCACAATGGCCACCACCAGCAAGCAGGCTCTGGCTCTCGCTGCTCTCCTGGTCCTGGTCACCGGCACCCACCTCATTGCCGCCGCAAGGGCCCCGGTCGCTGTAACCGGCATTGGCGTTGGAGGAGGCGGCTACGGTGGTGGTGGAGGTGGAGGAGAAGGCGGTGGAAGCGGCGGTCATGGTTATGGCTACGGTTCAGGCTATGGTGCTGGATATGGCTCTGGAGGCGGCATCGGTGGTGGTGGTGGCGGTGGCCATGGCGGCGGTGGTGGTGGAGGAAGTGGTGGCATGGGCTCAGGGTACGGCTCCGGTTACGGCAGTGGTTATGGCTCGGGTTACGGCGCTGGCGGTCAAGGTGGTGGGGGAGGTAGTGGAGGAGGAGGCGGTGGTGGATCCGGCTATGGCAGTGGAGGTGGCTATGGGTCTGGGTATGGAGAAGGCTATGGTTCAGGAGGTGGCATGAACGGTGGCGGTGGAGGAGGCGGCGGTGGAGGGGGAGGTGGTGGTGGCGGCGGCAGTGGTGGTTTTGGGCATGGAAGCGGCGGAGGCTATGGTTATGGCAGTGGAGGTGGCTATGGCGGCGAGCATGGCCACTGAGCATCATATATAGCAGTTATTACCACTGTTTATAAACAGAAATTTAAAGACGGTAACAGAGAGGAATAAACATGGTTGGTGACTACGCCATCCTGAGATGCATGTTAATGATTGTTGCCATCATACTGTATTGATAAGTAAGATGAAATAAAGCTTATTCGGTTTGAACTCTGCTTTCTACTTTTCTATCATGCATTGCATACTACTACCAGTCTACCACTACATACATACACCAGAGAGCTTTTTCCGCATACAAGATGCATGAAAGATGACGAGCATACCATCCATGTGTACGTAGGTTACACGCCATCTCCAAACCTCATCCAACTTCACCTATTCTCCATCCAGAAAGATGCATCCATCCATCATCTCAACCAGCTGAAATCATCTACAAGATCCTCGGCATCACGGATTGCTTCTCATGTCCAAGCGGTCACACTTTCCTGTGACCAATTTTACAAACATCCAGTAAAGAGATTTCACAACTGAATCATCGACGGGCAAAGATTTCAAAAGCATATGTAGAGTACCTGTCGCATGCCCCAGCTATTAAGTCAAAGACACCCCTGGCTGAAATCTTAATCCACACACCACTAACCTGCGCACAGGAAGGCATTTTGGACAATCAGACAAAAATATACAATGATATATCTTGACAGCAAGAGGAAAGCTACATGCTCAGAAGGAACACTAGACTCTTCCCAGGTTCTCACTGTAACTTAGTATAGTAATGCACAGGCATGAAACAAATGGCACAAACTCTACCAAAATCGTGTGTATCTTTTGAGTAAACCATCTATGCCGTACCACCTCCCAGCACTACCAAGTCCAAACAGGAGCGCATCCGCCATTGCAGTAGTAAAAGACTGTTTAACAAAATTGTTATCAGGTGAGTGACCTCATGGGTGTATTAAGATGAAGAAATTCAAAAGGAAAAAAGTTGGAATTGGTGAAACAGATCATATCAGTACTCTTCCACAATTCATACCCAAAAACTAAATAAAAGGATGGTTTCACAACTGAACCACACCACTGGTTAAATGCACTCAGCATATGGACAACAAGTACCAACTTGCAAACTAAAATAAATACAAAAGCGCCCAGGTTGAGAGTGACCACAGTAGCAACTGAAATGCTTTACTGGACATACCAGTTACTCATTGCCATATACAGTTATGGACATCATAAGAAGCCTTCAATCCCATTGATTGTGCTCCGTATATAGCTTCCCATTGCCATATACGACTTCTCATTCGGTCATTCCCATTGATTGTGCTCCAAAGAGAGAGCCTTCAAGTAGACATTGATTTCTACAAGGCCTTTCAAGTAGTCATTGGTTTCTACAAGGCCTGCAGATGAAGAATGCAGATTAGTGAACTCAGCTGATCTTGGGCCTAAGAGCGCATTGTTGGAGAAAGTGGCGACACAATTAAAAAATACAGAATACAATAAACCTTTACACAAAGGAAAGAAAGAAACATAGCAGGGTAAAGAGGTAACTGCATATCAGTTTATAATTTATTTTAGACGTATTGTGCTAACATCTTACCTGGCTGTGCTGGCTGTCAGTTGACGCCTGAGAAGCGTGACAGGGGACAAAGCCTAGTTCCTGAGAAGGTAACTGCAGGAGTAAAATTTTAATGATTATTACACTGGCCAGAAACATATGTAAAGTGTTTAATCCAAAGTGGTCTTAATACCAGAGTGAACCCCAGACTTGCGCCAGGATGCATCCCTTGATAGTTGATTGTCCCCATAGAGTTTGAGAAGTCAGTCCCCTGGATCAAAGAGGAGTAGGTAAATATTTCATACAACATGACCAAAAATATCACAAATATTCTAGGGAGGCACTTCAGAGATCATAATTTCATACCATGTAAGGTATATAGGTTGGAGTTTGGCTACCCATTTTGGACATGTTAGGAGGAGCCTCCAAGCCCTGCGTGTTGCAAATGTTAGAATACTGGTTGCACTAAGAGGCACTAACATTCACAGTATGAGATGAAATAAACGCAAAAGGCTGGAAACTGAGATTCTTAGGCCTGGTACACCTAATTTTCATCAAGTACTTGACTATAAATTTATGATGTACAGTTGCTCTGCTGAGAATCTTGTATTTCTTAGAGAATCCTAGGACAGCAGAGAACTTCATATAATACGATGCATTCGGCCAATAAATGTAATACATGATGGATCCCAATTAGGCAATTAGTTTAATTAACATAACATAAGGCATACATTTCAAATTTGCATGGTTAAAATGGATACAGATACCTCAACCTCAATGAAGAAAATAGCAAGATTACCTGAAACATAGCATTTGCAGACTGGGCAGAACCATCTACCAAACCATACTGCACTACTGCAGGTTCTTCTGAGTGCACTTTCTGCTTCTTTGTCGGACCGTTTTCAATGCAATTTCTCTGACGGTTTTTGTTTTTCTGGACTTTCTTCTTTACTACTGTTTTTGCTGCTGCCCTGCTTGATATGTCCAGAACATTTTCTGATTCAGTGCCATTCGTGATGGAAGACAAGGCCATCTTAAGATTCTGAACATCAGGCTGTAGTGTCACAGGTGCACTGCTAATGCTGGTTTGTTTCTGCAGGATTTGCTCAACCTTGTCGCCAAGTTCTCCCCAGAATTGGTCTAGTACTCTGCTGGACTCCTCACATTCTGATGCACGGGCAACAAGCCTGACATACTTTGGGCACAAGTGCTGGTAGCGATTAGAAGAAATCTCCAATGATTCCTCTGCTTGAACGGCTTGCCCAGGAACAGGAACCTCCGGTGAAGAGGAGGTCAAACGCCTTGCATGTTTGGTCCAGCGCTTGATGATGTATCTCTCTGGTATATACTTTATGTCCATAACATCTAGAATCTTGAGAGCATGGCTGCACAAGAAGCCAATCGTCTCAAACTTGCCGCACGAGCATGCGACAGTCTGCTCCGTAGGGTTCCCATAAACCGTGTACCGCCGGTCCTCCTTCTCCACAAGCGAGACGACATACTCCCGACACGGGCCGCTTTCATCACGGCTCACGATGTAAGCTGACTGGAACTCCTCGTATTCCTCTTGGAAAAGCTGAAAGATCACACTGGTATAGACCTCGGAAGCCTGTGTCAGAACAGGAGCTCTGATTTTGAGGTAGGGCATCATCCACCTTGAACCATATTCCATCTCCAACTCTCTGTGCCGCCTGTCGCCGATCACTTTCTGAAGATGCCTCAAAAACAGAGCAATGTCCACCTCTGCTCTCAGATGACTGCGCACCTCAGAATTCAGGCGCTCGTTCAACCGTGTGCCTTCCATCCCGGCCGAGAAGACCCCTTTCGCGTAGGGCCTAGCCCACTTGTGTTTCTCCTCAAACAACCTCTGCAACCACGGGTTGTCACGAAGCTCGTACTTGCTGATCATAGCATCCCATGCGGCGAGAAATCCCGCCTCCTCGTCATACTCTCCGTCGACGCACGCCTTGAACTCCTCGATGAAACTGGCATCGCCTTTAGAAAGCTGACGTATGTTCCCCTTTGCAACATGCTTTATGTGCCACGCGCATATGGCATGAGCCGTCGTCGTGCCAGGCATCGCCAAGGACAGGGCCTCTGCTATCACCGTGTCCTGATGCGAAATGAAGGTCTTGGGTGCTCGCCCAGACATGGCTTGCAGGAACGTCTGGAACAGCCACCGGAACGACTCGCAGGTCTCGTCGTACATGAGCGCCAGCCCGAAGACGACGGGCTCGCCAAAGCTGTTGCAACCGACGAACGAGGCAAGGTGGCGGAGGCTGCTGCTGTTCCTGGACACGACGTTGAAGGCGACAGCATCGCCGAAGTGGGCGTAGTCGGCGACCATCTTGGCGTCGACCCAGAAGACGTTGGCCACCTTGTCCTCGACGTCGAGCTGCACGGCGTGGTGGAACCCCGGGTCGGCCAGCGATTGCCGCTGGAGGTGGTTCAGCAGGGCGGCCGCCTCCCCGTACTTGATCTCCCACTGCCGCCTGGTGCGCAGGGGCCCTTCTCCCTCGGCCCATGCCGCCCCCGCTGCTGCATCGTCGTCAATGAAATCCCGCGGCGGAACGACGGCGGCAGCGGCATCCGGCGGCGAGTGGAAGGGGCTGGGCGGGCCGCGGGGAGCGGCGAAGAGCGGGTGGTTGTGGCGCGGCTGGAAGGCGGAGACCTGGAACCTGCCGCCGGCCTTGGTGCGGCGGAGGGTGAGGTGCGCGTTGCAGCCGGTCCTGCCGTCCGGCGCGGGGATGGCGGCGGCGGCGGCACGGGAGAGCCTGGCCGCGGCGCGGGGGAGCTTAGCTGTGCCGGCGGTTGCGGTGGCGGTCTTGTGGTCCTTGAACCCCTCGCGGGAGCAGGCGAACTTGCAGGAGGTGACCTCGCCGGAGGTCTTGCTGCGGTTGGTGTAGCGGCGGCGGACGTTGAAGCCGAGCTTGAAGGCGTAGAGGCGGTAGAGGTCGTACGCCTGCAGCTCCGTGTCGAACTCCATGTCCATCCGCGGCGTGCAGTCCTCCGGCCGCGCCGAGGCGGCCGCGGCCGCAATGGCCGCGCTGGTGGAGGCGCCGCCGGAGGGCGGGCTTTGGTGGTCCTCCGCGGCGGTGCTGGTGGTCTGCGCGGGGGAGCTTCCGGAGAAGGCGGCCGAGGCATTTGGCTCCGGTGGTGGCGGCGGCGGAGCGGTGGTGGCGGCGATTGGGGATTTAGGTTTTGGCGGGGAGGCGGCGTGAGTGGCTGGGGTCGGGCATGGTGCTGGTGCTGGTGCTGGGACGGAGGGGGGAAGAGGGTGATGCGGCGGAGGCGCGGGGGCCGGGAGGTGGCCGGAGTCGGCGGGGGAGCTCATCGCCGGCGAGGGAAAGGGGAACGGAGAGGACGGGCGGCGTGGTGCGGTCTGTGTGAAAGGGAAGAGAAAATACGCCTTCCCCCGAGGAAGACGTACTAAGCGATCTGCTTGTTTGCTGGTTGTAAGTGCATGTTTGCATTGAGCTTCTCATTCCCCTCCCCTCCCTCCCTCCCCCTCCTCTGGCGGTGATTCGTTGTTGCTGACCCTGTTTCACCTTAATTGTTATTTGAACAAAAATATCAAAAGTGTTGCTGCTTTGAGCGCGGATGGGAGTTAGTTAGTTTGGACCCTAGTACCGGTTGTCGACCTCATGCTAGTCTTGGGAGTTATACCAATATGTGGAGAGATGTTTTTGGGTGCTCAGCCATGGCTGCTCGCGAGCAGCACCTGGTGGTCATTGTCATTGCCATCCCTACCTCCTCCATGGTGGAGGCAAGGGGACGAGGCAGATCCGGTGACAACTCGTTCTGTAATAAGCTCGCGCGGTGAATAGGCACGTCAATATTGATCACCGTGGTGGTGGAGAGGCTGTGTGGCAAGATTCAACAACTGCATGCTTTATTGTTCTCTTGCCTCCTTGGATCCTAGCTTCCGGCGAGGCGGAGTTGTTTTGTAATTCAGATAGAGGATCCTTGACAGTGGCGGAGCTATGTTGAGGCCAAGGGGGGCATGCCCCCCCCCCCTCCCCAATCTTAGGATTCTTCGAAGAAATTTTTTCTGTAGCTACATAGATTGAAGAAAATACAGACTTTTACCCTTTCAAGAGTTCATATTTTTCCATTGGCCCCAGTCATCCCAAGCTAGCTCTGCCGATCCTTGACTTCTGTTGCGGTATACATGTTTATGTTGGAGAAGAAGCAACCAATGCCACAGATGATGCAGGGTCCTGAGCTTCATCGGTGGGGTATCTGGAAGCAGTGGCGGAGTTGGAAGCAGGTTACGCGTGCTATGTTGAGTGATAAACTTCTATGATTTTGTATACTTTGTATGAAGGGATTACAAGGAAAGTTGTTATTAGGCCTGGGGCTATAGGTTATATCCCTAGCTGCCCTAGGCCTGTCTTTGTCACTGTCTGGAAGGGCTACAACACTAATAGGTTGTCGGCTTTCTCTGACGAGCCATCGTTCTTTTTGTTGGACATGTGAGTGCCAAAGAGGACGCGGTGTTGTTATAGGGTGGAGTCCCATGGCTTGCCGTGGTGGTCTCGTTGTACCAAGCGGTCTTGTGCCTGAAGCCAATAAGATTTGTTTTGCACGGGAGCAATTTCGACCCAATGGCGCCTACAAGATTTGTATTGCTTGAGAGCAGTTTGGACCCAAATTGTTTCTTTTTTTCCTCTTGGAATTTTTAGGAACTGGTGTGTTATTTCCTATTTTCTTAGGGTCTTGTTTACAAGATGTACTACCTCACAACTTTTGATTTAATGCCATTTTAGTTTTAATTTCCCCGTTAAAAAAGTTTATTTTCCAGTTTCCCACTCTTGTTCATGAAAAACTGTTTGCATCCCATATTCGCATGCGTTTTTCAAAAATACCCAAGAAATAGGAAATACTCTTTGTTCAGGAAAAAAATGTTTGCATTTCATACTCTTGTTCATGTGTTTTATTATTTCCTACTTAATTTTATTTTCTTTTTTGCAACCGAAGAGGGGGAGCAACTAGTTAACGAGCGCTCCTTCGCGAGCCTCGCAACGATCAGCGCCACTTGGCGCGCTCTCAGTCGCCCACCATGTGCCGCGCTCTGGGCGTTCCCTCCGGATTTTTTTTTTAATTTTTCCGCACACATTTTTGGCATTTTAAACGGGTTTTTTCGACATTTTGGTTTTCTATCGGTCTTCCTTAGCTTTTGGGTCAAAAAAAATTATGCGCGAAAAAAACGTGTTTTGTTTCTTTCACGAGAGTCGCGGTTTTGCTTCCGCGAAAGGTAAGGTTGTGTTTTCGTGGGAGTCACGGTCGTGCCTTTCGGAAACGAAAAAAATGCGTTTTTTGTTTTTCTTTTCCTTCCGCGAGAGACACGGTTTTGCTTCCACGAGAGTCACGGCCGTGCCTTTCGAGAACGAAAAAAAAGCGTTTTCTGTTTTTTCCTTCCGCGAGAGACACGATTTTGCTTTCACGAGAGTCACGGCCGTGCATTTCGGGAACGAAAAAAAACACATTTTCTGTTTTTTCCTTCCGCGAGAGCACGATTTTACAAAGATTCGTGCAACCACAAACGGAAGATGCAAACGCCCACACGTGTGGGCGTTAGTATTTCCGAAAGAGAAAACTTCCAGGTTGCGACAAGTGGCAGCGGGCCACTTGTCGCAATCTGGAAAGGTGGGAGTGCTCTTTGCAACGTGTACTCCTCAACTAGTGATTTCGCCGAAGAGGAGCCTTGGCGCAGCGCTAAAGTTGTTACCTTGTGACCATGGATTCGAGTACTCGGCCCTTTTTTTTTGCAACACAGTAATAATTCAATAACACAGCATGTTACGAGTAAAATTGAAGAATTTTGTGGTGTTGAACAACAACAAACATGTTGCTAGTTGGACCTATGAAATTCTGGCGTGGGAAACATTTTTTTAAAAAGATAGCTGAACTAATTTGCGGATACGGTACAGGCGATCGACCTGGTTCCGCAAGCTCAACTCACACATTCTTTAAACCATTCAGCTTCAGGAATACTTACTGCACCATGCATGCACTGTTTGGTTAACTACTTAACTGGACATATTAAACAGTAAATAATGTTTGTTCTTCACAAATAATTTTACTGCACCATGTATGCAAGACTAGCAAGAGATATTTCAAACTTATTTACCAAAACATGCATGAAAAACAACTTTATGTTAGTCAGTTTAATTTTTTGTTACAGACGAAATGGTAGGCTTATATTAGCACCACTAGCAATTATTTCAGTCCGGGAGCCAATGTTCTGTAATTTATTTACCTACTTTCTTGACAAGAAACTCCTACAGAGAGTACAGAAAGAAAAAACCTTTCATAGTGAATGCAAGTAGATTTCGATGAACACATCATACGTACTTCTAGTTCTAGATACACCCATCTTCATCTATTTTGATGACAAGTATTTCCGGACGGAGGGAGTAGTATATTATATGAAATTGCAGTTAGTTCTTGCAAAAGAAATTGTCCCAGCGCACCGAGCAAACCACTAGGGCCATCACCAACTTATGGTTGGAAACTACTTCCATACTTTTTTTCTTTCCCCAGTTCGCATCTCTTTTTCCTTTTTCTATTTTTCTGTCCTTTTTCATTTTTATTTATTTCTTTTTTTGAAATGCGCGATTGTAAACCGATGAACTTTTTCTTCATAATCAACGAACGTTTTAAAAACTCAAAAATCCATGAATTTATTTTCAAATCCGATGACCTTTTCTCAAGTTTAATGAACATTTAAAATTGGTTGATCTTGTTTTTCAATTTTGATGAACTTTTTTTCAAGTTCGATGATTTTTTTTTTCAATTTTTTTGAAATTTATCTTAAATTCGATGAACTTTTTCAAATTCAATTAACTTTTTTCAAAAAATGATGAACAAAATCGATGATTTTTTTCAAATTCTATGATTTTTTTTTCAAATTGGATGATTTGTTTTCAAATTCAATGAACTGTTTTTAAAATTCAATGGACTTTTTTCAAATTTGATGATCTTTTTTTCAAATTCAATGAACTGTTTTTAAAATTCAATGAACTTTTTCCAAATTCACAAACTATTCCATTTTTCTGAAGTTTTCTTTTCAATTCATGGTTCATGTGAATGCGTTTTCGTATTTATGGTTTCTTTAGTCAAATAATTTATAGTGCGTATATAATACTAGTACTATATGTTTAATGTTTGTACTGGATGAAAGGTCAAAGTGCTCAACAAACCAAACATGGTTCAGTGGTTAACTCGTGTGGGCGTCTACTGTGGCGTCGGGAGTTCAAGTCTCACGTCTCCTTGATTTTAACCTACAACGCTCAATAGGAGCTCCCCGGGCAGAAGGCCGGTGGAGCCGACTTCCTTGATTTGTTTTTCGTCAACCAAACCCACTTCTTTTTTTCGTCGTCTTTTACTTGTTTTCCTAAAACACAAATGTGTTGGCTGCTCGAGACTATATTTTCCAAAAAAAAAAAATCAAAAAATCCAACTCAGGGCATGGCCAACACGCAACCCCCTTCCTCCGAGCCGCTCAAATGGCCCCAACTCTCCTACCTCCAACAACTCGACCGCGAGGAGGAGGAGGAGGAGGAAGGAGGGTACGTGCATATCGTGTGGATTTATAGCAACACGTTGAACATAGGACTTGTCGTGACGCCTCTTCTCCCTTCGTCTCTCCTTTCAAGGAAAGGCGGCTAGAGTTTCCGCCTCCCTTCGGCGGCGCCGTCGATCTAACATGTCTGTGGCCTTAGGGCCATGGGTGCGCGGTGGATCCCAACCCTTGCCGGTGGGAGGGCTCCGTTTTTTTATGCTTCTTCAAGTTTTGTTATGGTTTATATCCTGGTCAGGAAGACGAGACGGCGGCGGCTTCTTGAAGATGGAATAAGGTTCTCCCCGCCTAGCCCCCGTCCCGATGGTCTGTGTAGCATTGTCGAAGGCCGTGTGGAGGTGTGTCTCTGGCGGATCTCGTATGATTCGTTTGGTGGTTGTCTTTGGTGGATCTGCTCGGATCCAGTCTTTGTCCATGTGTCTTCAGGTTGGATCCTTCCGATCTAAACTTCTCTTCATCGACGGCGGTTGTTGTTCTGGTGCATTGGTCCTATGGGGCCTTAGCACGGCGACTTCCTGACTGTCTACTACAACAAGTTGTGCCCGACTCCAGCAAAAATGTTCAACTTATGTTGTGTGTTATAGAAACTTTATGTGTACAAATAGATTAGTATATATAAAGAAAATGTTCAACGCCCTCGCAAAAAAGAAAAGAAAATGTTCAACTTATATTAAAAAATGATTAGTGTGTACCAACAAATGTTCATCGCACAATTAAAAATATATATTCAAGGTATATAACAGAATTAT